TCTTAACCATTTCCCTACAGCATTTGTTATGAAAATGGATGCCTCTCCATTTCTCAGCTGGCTTCTATGTACCCAAATCCAAGCAGCCATGTAGGCTTCATCTCAGTCACCACACAAACTCTGGCTTTGCATGATTTCCTACATGTCTTATCCAGGGAACTCTGCTCTTAACTTTTACTTCATTTGCCTTCAGTGACATCATCACTAGAGATGGGGGAATCTGTCAAGCCTGATGACCTGCCAGCTTCTGATAGATGAGGAATGAAGCGAGGGAGAAGGGTTAAATGACCATAAATGACCACTCTTAAGACCAATGGCATGCTTGCACCCTTCGCGTTTCTACCCTGTTTCCCCAAAAATAAGCCCTAGTATGATTTTTCAGGATGCTCGTCATATAAGCCCTACCCCAAAAATAAGCCCTAGTTAAGAGAAACCCCGACCTCCACCCTTTTGTAGTAACTAGAAAAAGATGACAGGACTGTATTTGAATAAATGCAGATTGTTGTACATGAAAAAAATTAAACATCCCCTGAAAATAAGCCCTAACGTGGTTTTTTTTGGGGGGGGGGAATTAATATAAGACCCTGCCTTATTTTCGGGGAAACACGGTAATATAGTTCACATTCTGTAAATTAATATAAGACCCTTCCTTATTTTCGGTAAAACACAGTAATATAGTTCACATTCTGTATCCCTCACCTTTGGTGTATAATTGTCTATATACTGAGGTTATGCTCCATACATCTCAATAACTAGGCTGCTGTCCATAAACATTTGTGCCAGACAAGACCTATTTGTTCCTAGATCTCACAAGCCCATGTTGTTTTGATGACATGAAGGCAGGCAAGTCAAACAGTGTTCTTTTCTTTCTGCTCACTGTTCCAGCCCGCTTTCTCTCCTCACCCTCTCAGTGTTTCTTTCAGCCTCAGTGAGAGTGCCATCATATTTTGCCTTGTTCTGTGTAACAAGGGCACCTCTTTCCCATCAATTATATTTTGGAAGCTAAGGAGAAGGCCAGTGTCCCTCTCTATTATCGATTGAAAACCTTTTGTGTTTTTCTTTTCCATTTAAAGGGGGGAAAATTGATCTCACTCGCTGGCCCTTGATCCTGCTGGAATTAAGGTCAAGGTTTATGCTCTGCATTTGTGACCCTGAAGTGTGATGCCTTCAGACATGAGAGGGGAAAGGATCATAATGGAATGTAAAACATCCAGTGCCATCCATGGATGGGACTCCCGCACAGAGCAGAGACAGAACATCTGGGGCCTTATGGCCCAAGCGTTGGTTCTCAAGACCTCCAGCACCAAGAGGAGAAAATGCTTTATTTCCTGAAAACATCATTTTAAAAGCATTTTCTTTCTTAATTTGTTTTAGAAGAAGAGTGGCTTTCCATGTGTTCTACCATCTTAGATACCAGTCAGGGCCCCTTTCGACCTCACCGTAGCAGTGCGGGAACTGCTGTAGCACGTCAAAGACCATCGTGTAGTGATGGTCTCTAATAGGGACATCTTAAAAATTCACAAAGGACAAAGCTATCAATGGCCATTAATCTTTGTGCCAGCTTTCTGCAGCTCCGGTTATAACAAAGCCACCAAGCCAGTGGAACATATTCAAGAGCCATTGGCTCAATGGGTCTGGTCTAGTGAAGACTAATAGTTCAGTTTAGGATAAAGTATGGTCCTCTAAGTTTTATTGGATTGCAACTCCCATAATCCATCAACAGTGGCTATACTTCCTCAAGCTGATGGGGGTTGCGCTCAAACGAGGGTGTTTTTTTTTTTAACGGTAGAACTTCCAGAATGGAGAATCATGAGATTTTTAGTTCAGGAAATTTAAAAAAACACATACCTATTTCCAGCAACCAATGCATTTACTCAAGAGGAAGACAGGGATTGATTTGTTGCATGAACTTTTCAGGATTAGAAGTAGCAGACAGCATTATGTATGTGTGTGTTTTTAACAATCAGCAAATTGTGCTTGCTCTCTCTCTCTCTCTCTGAGCTTTGTTTCTCGAAGGGAAAGGACAAAGTATACTGGTTTTGTGCAGAGTTAATTAACACAAATTGCAGTCTTTGATAGGAAAATAATAGCATTCCTTCTCTAGCTCTGTCCTGGAAAGAAGGAATCTCATGGGGCTTGAAAAGTTCTTGTCCCCGTGTCTCATTCGATCAATGAAAAAGACTGAACATAATTAGTTGTCACCTTCAGCCCACATCTGAGATCATTCAGATCCCTCATAAAACAACCTGCAACACATTCTGGATAAGCAAACTTACCTCTCCAAAGCCTTTGATGGCAGATCTGGATTTGTTTATAGACACCTGCCCTGTCAGACTGCATGACACAGAGACAGAGATGGGAACTAGTTATGTTGCGGTCAAGTTAGAATTGACATATTGTCACCCTAAAAGGGCTTTCAAGATAAGTGAGATATTTAAGCAGTGGTTTTACCAGTTCCACACCCCCAGTGGGTTTCCATGGCTGAGTGAGAATTTGAACCCAGGCCTCCTGAGTCCTAATCCATTACTCTATCTGCTACACCTCACTGAATATCATGCGGACTAGACCCTAGAAGAGCCTCGTGGAGCAGTGGTTAAATCGCTGTACTGCACCCAAAACTGTGCTCACGACCTGGGGTTCAATCCCAGGTAGCGGCTCAAGGTTGACTCAGCCTTCTATCCTTCCGAGGTCGGTAAAATGAGTACCCAGCTTGCTGGGGGGGGGGGAAGGGGCAATGTGTAGCCTGCATAATTAACTTGTAAGCCACCCAGAGAGTGCTTGAAGCGCTATGGGGTGGTATATAAGCAGCACGCTTTGCTTTTTGCTATTACATATCCTTTTACTTTCTTAGGCTCCATGATCACTGCAGATGGTGACAACAGTCACGAAATTAAAAGACACCTGCTTCTTGGGAGGAAAGCAATGAGAAACCTAGACAGCATCTTAAAAAGCAGAGACATCACCTTGCCGACAAAGGTCCGCATAGTCAAAGCTATGGGTTTTCCAGTAGCGATGTATGGAAGTGAGAGCTGGACCATAAAGAAAGCTGACTGCCGAAGAATTGATGCATTTGAATTGTGGTGCTGGAAGAGACTCTTGAGAGTCCCCCGGACTGCAAGGAGAACAAATCTACCCATTCTGAAGGAAATCAACCCTGAGTGCTCACTGGAAGGACAGCTCCTGAAGCTGAGGCTCCAGTACTTTGGCCACCTCATGAGAAGAGAAGACTCCATGGAAAAGGCCCTGATGTTAGGAAAGTGTGAAGGCAAGAGGAGAAGGGGACGACAGAGGATGAGATGGTTGGACTGTGTCACTGAAGCAACCAACATGAATTTGACCCAAATCTGGGAGGCAGTGGAAGACAGGAGGGCCTGGCGAGGTGTGGTCCATGGGGGTCACAAAGCGTCGGACATGACCAAACGACTAAACAACAACAAATGTCAGCTCTATCCCAACATCTACTCTAGCAACACAACTACAGGCCTCACAATGTCACTCACACACAACTTCAGGGCCCTGTTTACTTGTTCCTCTTCTCACCTGATGTATGTCACCTGATGTATGGCCAACAGTGTTCTTCCACCCTCTATGCAGGATAAGTGGGACAATCTGTACTCAAGGAACTTAATGGACATTAATCTGACACCAGAAAGGGCAACACATAAAGACCTGTTCCAGATAATTTCTATCTAATGAGCCTGCCTGGACATTAAGATCATCAGGGGAGGCCTTTCTCTCAGTCCCACCACCTTCACAGGAAAGTTTGGTGGGGACACAGGACAGGGCCTTCTCTGTGGCTGCTCCCAGTCTCTGGAACTCCCTCCCACTGGAGGCCAGACTGGCCCCATCTTTGCTGTCCTTCTGCAATGAGACCTTTCTCTTCAGGCAGGCTTTCCTTTTGAATGCACTTTTAGTATTGATTTTATTTGCCATTTTAAAAATAAATTCTTTAATTTATTCTTTAATTCCTTTTTCCTATTTGTATGCTTACTGTTTTTAGCTTCTTAAATATTGTCTTTTTAATGATGTAAGCTGCCCTGGGTCCTTTTAAGGAGAAAGGCAGTGTAAAAATATTTTAAGTAAATAATAATAATAAATACTGTAAATCTACCTGGACACTGCTTCAATGATCTGCAAGTAACTATTATTAAAAAAATACCTATAGAATAAGACTTGAAAAGGAGACAGGTGAAATAAGGCATGTACATAAGTTTGGCAGCCTGTCACGGGGATTAAACATTGACCAAGGATTCCTAGCTCACTGCCAAGTTTGAGACCCAACACTGATTTTCACAGTTGACCACTTGTATCAGTAATACTATTGTTAGCTGTAGTCTCATGTATGATACCTGCAAACTGAAATTATTCATAGTCTGATAGTCCTATTTCTGTACTAAGAAACCATTGTCATTTTGTCCTTTATCTATGTTCTCACCTGGTCATGGGGCCACCATAACACATGCCAGCCATGAAATCTCACTTAACGTCTGAGGAGGTGGACTTGCTCCATGAAAGCTCATATTAAAATATAGCACTTCGTCTTTAAGGTTTTACAACATTTTTGCCTCTCTCTTTTTTTAAAAAAATATTGCTTGGTTTCTTGTCTAATGTTAAAATATGGCAGTTTTTAAAGCACCACATTAGTCTTATTTCATTTGATTTTGTTTTATTTCAACAGACATTCATCCAGTCAAGACAGCGTAAATCCACAAGAACTAAGAACATAGCATGTACTCCTTACATCCCTAATTCCAAGCAGAATCGTACCCTGAGCTTTTCTTTATTCATCCTACTGCATAACAACCAACCCTGGCAAGGAGATAAATTAACCATCGTAGTGAAGTTTTAATGGACCATGCCATCCGCATGCCACTTTTTTTTTTTAAAAAAAGCAAGCAACTAAATAAGCTAAAATTAGAATTTACTTAATCTACTATGCCTTAGAATTTCCGGAGTAATAAGAACATAAAAGTGGAGCAAGGGAATTGTATTTTTAAAGTGTCCTAACCTTTGAAATCTCCTCTTAGGACTCTGTTAGGGTAATAAGAGCCCAACATCAGCTGCTAATCTCTCCATTAGAGCTCTACCACCTATTTCCTAAACAGAGCCTCCTGTATCTATTTAGAAAAGAAGGAGCATCTTTCAGACCCATTAAAGGCTCAAGCCAAGAGGTAAGGATGATTGTCTTATTGCTGCTGATGTCTGGCACCCAGAAGGGTGATGATGGTTATCGTATTTAGGAGACCTCTTATTTAATGCAACCTGCAAGTGCAGGGATTATACTTTGGGGGCTAAGATTATGGTGCTTTTAAAAAATATTGTGTTATTAGGAAAACAGTGAATGGATATAAAAAGCGTGATATGTTCCTTTGCCATTTCCTTAGCAAACATGGTGGGTTACCCTAGTTCCAATTGGCAGATGGTTCTCAAAAGGGACCCCCCCTCCTCTCTCTGTCTCTCTCTGTCTCTCTCTCTCTCTTTGTGTGTGTGTGTGTGTGTGTGTGAGAGATTGCATGCATGTGTGCACAAGTTGGAAAGCATTTTATATTTCTAAGGAGTCAACGGCTTTGTGGCCCTTTGTGAACTTTTCTCTAATTTACTAACCAGTAAATGATCCTACTAATTAAAACAAATTTAATCCATTTGTCACAGCATGAAGCCAGATTTCTACGCCGCCTTTCGAGAGAACTGGGAGATTGGAATTTGCGAACCAACTAGAGACATTTAGGGTAGGCTTGTCTATCTGCTTGCCGTATATAGATTTTTCTAATTGCATTAAGTCAAACTCACACACACACTCTCTCTCTCCCCCCTTAAAAAGACTCCCCTGTGGGACATGGCCCTTACTGATTACAGAAACATCTCATCCATCCAGGAAAATATTGGTGACTTAAAATGTCTTCCTGTAACGTTCATTCTGGCATAGCTGCTGCCAGCCAATGTTTGTGTATATTCGTGATTCTCAGTCCTATTATATTTTAGGTTCCAACAGATGCTGTATCAAAGAACCTGGGTCTCACTATGACAGAAACATGAAGAACACCTTTTCCCAGAAGGACATCTGTGGCTAAAATTCAATTGTTAGTCTGAGTTAGAGTAGATCCATTGAACCAAAGGGGTTATGTTACTGTTGACTTACTGGGTCCCATCTATTCCCGTGGGCCTATTCCAGTTGAGTGTAATAACTCTACATGTTCACAGGCATTCTGTATGAAGCAGAACAGAACAAAATGTCTTATGACGTCTCTAGGACTAGCAAATATATTTCTCCTAAATAGCTCAGTGATTTAGGTATCAGGGGTTCGATTCCCCACTGGGCCTCCTTGACAGGGGCTGGATTTGATGATCCATAGGGACCGATGACCCATGGGGTCCATCCAGCTCTGTAGTTCTAAGATGATGATAGTTGTTACGGTGATAATTTCAGTGTGAGCTCTCACGGATTACAATCCCTTTCTCCAGAATGGAATACAATAGAGTATTTAGGCCATGAGCTTTCTAAAGGGTTGTAGGTCTGGGGATCAAGTGAAATGAGATGCAGAAGATGATGACTGTGTTATTGATACTGGTAACAAACTTTTGAAGTGTTGATTACATAAACATTCTTGCAATAGGGCAGAGTAATGACCTAATGCCAAGGGTCTATTGGCTAATGCACAATGGTTAAGCTGTTGGTTTTGAATGACGCCTTGAATTATTGGTTTTTGGTTTTGAATTATTTCCCCCCCCCAGGAAATAATTGGTTGTGCCGATGCCTGGGTTTTGCTAGAGTTTTTGGCTACATGCAGGATTGTACACAAAATAGCTTATTAAAATAGATTGAATGTTTTTTGTATATACTGATCAAAATCCAGTTGCATAAAGTTAAGCTGCTCAAAGCTGATGATGCCATCAGCTGTGGCCTTTTATTGTTGAATAAAAGTTTCTAATTACCGTATTTTTCCATGTATAAGATGCCCCATGTATAAGACGCCCCCCCAGATTTCTAACCCAAAATTAAGAAATCTAAGTGGGGCTTAGCAAGTGTAGGGTGAAAGGGATCAAAGCACTGCAGGATCGCTTTGATCCCTGCTTTCTCCCTTCGTGCTAAGGCCTGCAGGACTTAGCAAAAGGAGGGGGAAAGGGATCAAAACAATCCCACAACTGCATGATAATTTTGATCCTTCTCCCCCTGATACTGCCACAGGATTGCTTTGATTTGTTCCCCCTCCTTTTGTTAAGCCCCATGGGATTTAGCAAGCAGAGGGGAAAGAAGGGATCAAAGCAATCCTGCAACATGTTGATCCCTGCTTTCCTTTTGCTAAGGATTAGCAAGTGGAGGAGAAAGCAGGGATCAAATCCCTGCAGGAACAATTTGATCCCTGCTTTCCCCTCCACTTGTTTTTGTACTCTCCTCAGCTTACTTCCGTGTATAAGATGACCCTCAATTTTTAGTCTATAAATTTTAGACAAAAGTGTAGTCTTATACAATCAAAAATAAGGTACACACCCCTTCCTGTTTCATCCCAAGGCAGCCTTTGGAGAGTTAAATGAGGTGATGGCTAGGGAACCTGCCCAGTCCTGATACCTCCCAACACTCTAAAACAAAGTGTGCTGCTTATATACCACCCCATAACGCTCAAAGCACTCTGGGTGGTTTACAATTTAATTATATAGGCTAATTATATAGGCCACACGTTGCGCACCCCCCAAGGGAGCTGGGTATTCATTTTACTGACCCTGGAAGAATGGAAGGCTGAACCTTGAACCAGCTACCTGAGTCGCTGGGATCAAACTCGGGTTGTGAGCAGAGTCTTGATTGCAGTACTGCGGTTTAACCAATGCACCATGTGGCTCTTTAGTCGAACCCCCAACTAAGCTGTGTTTTCTGTGAGTTCCAAAACATTCACAAGATTAAGCGCTTAAGCCTCTGATGCAAACCCCAAAAGATAGTACTGCCAGCACACACCCATAAAAATACAGAAGTACCACAAACTCTCTTAGCCAAAAATAGACAAAAAACCCAGGCAACTGAAACAAGGTGATTTCATGTGTTCTGGTGATTTGTGAGGTCATCCGTTGCACCGTCTCATGAGCCATCACTTAGTTGTTCCTGAAATGAGCATCACCACATTATCCTGTAGGAAAGGGAGCACAACCCAGTGGCCAGAATCTTTTGGTTAGATATGTCAGCCGTGGCATAAATTTGTGGTGGGAAATTGCCAGTAGCTAACGAGCCTTTGCAGGTATCTCATGTCATGTGCTAGCTGCATGAGTTGAGGTGTGATGATACAGGCGGCAATGAACAGCAATTTGCCACTCTGACCTATGCCCTTATGCTTTTCCACTGCCCATTTAGTAATCCAGTTGGCCAATACCTCAAGTCTTCCTCAACAACACAGGTACAAGTACATGCAGCTCATATTTAGTGCTATCGAAATGTTTGGCAATGGCTACAGTGGCCAATATTTTTAAATGTGAAGATTTTTTCAAGACGCACTGATTTACTGGGGCAATTCTAGTCCTTGAAAAGCTCATTTTGTGCCACAGAATTAACCGTTCCCCTGGTACCTGTGGCAGCACAACCTGTTTCTCTCTCTCTCCTACAGTGAGACCTTCTCACAAAGAAGGCCTGAGCTTTTTCTGCCCTGCGATAGGACTGTAGGTCAGGAATACCGAAGAGAGCTCTAAATGTAACACAAGAATCTCCCCAATATTGTCTATGGCCAGGGAGGTGGGGCTAAGGCAGAGCAAGCTTTCACAAACTGCAATTCTTCCTGCTGACCACTAGGTGTTGAAGTCCAAGACAAGTCCAACAGGGCTAGACTAGGGTAGCCAAATTGGGAAGAGGAGGCTCACGGAAAGTGATGATGGATTAAATGGAGTCTTCCACAGGGATGAGGACTTGAGTTGCAGGACTCACTCTGAAGTCGGACTTAAGATGCGCCCATTACTCAACTAGGATTCCATTTGGGTTTCTTTTCAATGACTCAGACTTGACTTGTGACTTGTAACTTGCCCCCTCCCCTTTTCTGGTGGAAAAGAACTAGTTTTTAATAGGGACTTGTGACTTGGCACCAAAAGACTCGGACTTGGGAGTCCGATCCAAAGACCTGTCAAAATGAGCACTGCCCCCTAGAGTCGAACACGACTGGACAAAAATTGTCAAGGGGAACCTTTACCTTTACCTGAGACTTGGCACCGAAAGACTCAGCCTTGGGAGTCCGATCCAAAGACCTGTCGACACCCCTGGTCTTCCACAAGGTAGAATGTGTGGACTTTTCTAAGACAAAGAAATCTTGAATGCTGCGCACACTTAGAATCTATTCTGTAGACACCTTAAAATTTCTTCTGTGTTCATTCATGATTTGTTTTCACTTTCTGCCCTGCTCTTGTCTCAGAAATCCAATTTTTTTTGGGGGGGGGGAAGGACCTGGTATTAGCTGCACATTTTTGGATACAGCCTGACATCTGTGAATGGTTTTCTAATTGCGCCAATAAATCAGTGCGATTGGAAAATTCTTGGGATTTTTTATTGAGAAGGAAATTTACAGCAATTAAAACTAATTAATTGTGAGTTTCTATATTCATCTGAGGAAGGTTTCTGATGCTCTGATCTATCTCACTGCTGTTTCTTAGAATCCCGCTTCAACAGGAAGACAGGAATCAACTGATTTGGGGGACAGTACAAAGCTAATGAGCACCTGGCAAATTGTGGTTATATGTATGGGATACTTGGTGTGGTGTAGTGGATAGTGACAGACTAGGACCTAGAAGGCCTGAGTTCGAATCCCCACTCATCCATGGAAACTCCCTGGGGGTGGAACTGGCAAAGGTTCCCCTTGAAAATTTGTCTAGGTTCCCCTTGAAAATTTGTCCAGTCGTGGCCGACTTTAGGGGGCAGTGCTCATCTCCGTTTCCAACCCATAGAGCTAGCGTTTGTCCGAAGACAATCTTCCGTGGTCACGTGGGCAGTGCAACTAGACATGGAATGCCATTACCTTCCCACCATGGTGGTACCTATTTATCTACTTGCATTTGCATGCTTTCAAACCATTAGGTTGGCAGGAGCTGGGACAAACGACGGGGGTTCACTCCGTTGCGTGGATTCGATCTGACGACTGCAGGTCTTCTGACCTTGCAGCACAGAGGCTTCAGTGGTTTAACCCAGAGTGCCACTACGTCCCTTGGAACTGGTAAAACCACTCCTTAAATATCTCACCCGGAAAGCCTTATTGGGGTTGCTATATTACTATTAGCGATTAATGCGAAATCTGTCACATTGCACAATAGGAACAAATACCAAAAAAGTTTCCAACTCAGATCCATCTTTTGCTATGAGCTATTCTATTCAGTTTTGGTCAGGCCTCACCTGGAGTACGGTGGGAATTCTGGGAACAGAAATGTACACAAAAGATACAGTACAGCTAGAACATGTTTGAAGGTGGGCAACAACAACGATAAAGAGTCTGGAAGCTAAAGCCCTATGAGAAACAGCTTCAGGAGGTGGAAAAGATGGGAAGCAGAAGCAAAGTGTACTGATTATATACTGCCCCATAGCGCACTCTCTAGGTGGTTTACAATTTTAATTATGCAGGCTACACATCCCCCCCTGCCCCCACCTGTGAGATGGAAACTCAATTTACCAACCTCGGAAAGACAGAAGGCAGAGTGAACCTCAAGCTGGCTACCTGGGACTGAATCTGGCTCCTTATATTTAACATCTGTATGGCTGGCCAGTAGAACCATATCCTCTCCATAATGGGAATAGACGGACTTCATGAATTTGATCAATAGCATTTTGTTTCGATTTGAAGAATTTCACCAAAATTCTCAACATTCAAGACAGAAAGAGCTTGAGGGTTCAAGAAGGAGCAAGCAAAATGGATGGAGTTCCTCAGTCCTACCGTGGATTAAGTCCCACTGGGTTCAGTGGGGTTTCCTCATGAGGAAACACGCACAGGATTTGAACCATTAACCACTTCATACTCAACCTTTCTGCCTACATTGCTTTAAAAGCAGAATGAATTTGAGGACAGCAATAAAGGGCTTGTATCTTATTTCTAAACTGGCCCTGGATTTACTCC